TTTAGGGGAACGAAGAATGACATAAACATAATTAGCCTGGCGAAGGACCCAACCATATGCAGTTGAGAGTACCGCAATTGTGAATATCTTCTTCGGTGGCGCTCCCTATGGGGCCACGAGCCGTATGAGGGGTGTGCCGAAATGCGTGGCAGTGTACACAACACGAACGAAGACGATAGGTCCGAATATGAAAGCTTGAGCGCGTGCGAGTCGGATCGCGAGCGAGTCTGATTATGAATGAATCTGCGCGCGATTGATTCTATTCGCATGAATGCGTGCATGGATACGCCCAGTGTAAATGTATGTATACGACTGTGAACAGTTTGGGTCTGCGTGACTCTCGGTACTCGTGACTCTGAGCGTCGCCTCTGCAGGGGGCTTCCCTGGGAACCCCGACGGCAGCGCCCGCGCGCCGCGACGCCCATGTCGGCACGCCACACACCTGGTGTGCGGGACGCATGCGGACGGCAGCACTGGGGCCTTCGGTGGAGCTCCCTGTGGGGCCACGAAACGTGTGAGGGGTGTGCCGAAATGGGTGTGCGGGACGCATGCGGACGGCAGCCATGGGGCCTTCGGTGGAGCTCCCTATGGGGCCACGAAACGTGTGAGGGGTGTGCCGAAATGGGTGTGCGGGACGCATGCGGACGGCAGCACTGGGGCCTTCGGTGGAGCTCCCTGTGGGGCCACGAAACGTGTGAGGGGTGTGCCGAAATGGGTGTGCGGGACGCATGCGGACGGCAGCCATGGGGCCTTCGGTGGAGCTCCCTATGGGGCCACGAAACGTGTGAGGGGTGTGCCGAAATGGGTGTGCGGGACGCATGCGGACGGCAGCACTGGGGCCTTCGGTGGAGCCCTCCACGAAACGTGTGAGGCCGACGGGACGCATGCGGACGGCAACGGTGGAGCTCCCTATGGGTGTGCCGAAATGTGTGCCGAAACGGGTGTGCGGGACGCATGCGGACGGCAGCACTGGGGCCTTCGGTGGAGCTCCCTGTGGGGCCACGAAACGTGTGAGGGGTGTGCCGAAATGGGTGTGCGGGACGCATGCGGACGGCAGCCATGGGGCCTTCGGTGGAGCTCCCTATGGGGCCACGAAACGTGTGAGGGGTGTGCCGAAATGGGTGTGCGGGACGCATGCGGACGGCAGCACTGGGGCCTTCGGTGGAGCTCCCTGTGGGGCCACGAAACGTGTGAGGGGTGTGCCGAAATGGGTGTGCGGGACGCATGCGGACGGCAGCCATGGGGCCTTCGGTGGAGCTCCCTATGGGGCCACGAAACGTGTGAGGGGTGTGCCGAAATGGGTGTGCGGGACGCATGCGGACGGCAGCACTGGGGCCTTCGGTGGAGCTCCCTGTGGGGCCACGAAACGTGTGAGGGGTGTGCCGAAATGGGTGTGCGGGACGCATGCGGACGGCAGCCATGGGGCCTTCGGTGGAGCTCCCTATGGGGCCACGAAACGTGTGAGGGGTGTGCCGAAATGGGTGTGCGGGACGCATGCGGACGGCAGCACTGGGGCCTTCGGTGGAGCTCCCTGTGGGGCCACGAAACGTGTGAGGGGTGTGCCGAAATGGGTGTGCGGGACGCATGCGGACGGCAGCCATGGGGCCTTCGGTGGAGCTCCCTATGGGGCCACGAAACGTGTGAGGCGTGTGCCGAAATGGGTGTGGAGGAGGGAGGAGGGCGGAGGAGGAGGAGGAATGAGGAAGGAGACGCGGGGCACCGTCTCTTCAAAACGAGGACCCAACACCACAGGATGGTTGGGAAAAACTTGCGCGCGAGCTCTTGCGAAATCTCAACAAAACCATACGTTCCTAAATATTTGCACAAAATGCTACCAAGCGGGCTTCGCGCGCGCGCATGTCGACATCTGTCGAACGCCCTTGCGCGTGTGCCGTCGCGAAAATCCTCTGCAAAAAAATGCGACGACATGCAGACGCGCGCGTCGTCGCGCGCGTATGCCGAAATCCTTCACAACCCATCGGTTTCGGAAGGGTTTGAAAATCGTGTGTCCAAAACCCCATACAAAAACACAAGGTTTCGCAACACGGATTTCCAACAAAAGCGTGCGCGCGCGCTCTTGCGTCGTCTTCGTCGTCGTCGTCGCCGTCCTCCCTCCTCCCGCGTCGTCGTCGTCGTCGCCGGCATCGTCCTTTGTCTTTCCTCGTGTTCGTCGTCGGCATCCTCTTTGGCGTCGTGGTCGTTTCCGTCGTCGTTGTCGCCGTGGTCGTCCTTCCTCCTCCTCCCTCGTCGTCGTCCGTCGTCTGCGTCTCGTCGTCGTCCCTCCTATTTCGTCGCCGTCGTCGTCGTCGTCGTCGTCGTCGTCTTCTCTCCTCCCTCGTCGTTGTCGTCGTCGTCGGCGTCGCCGTCCTTCCTCCTTCTTCGTCGTTCGCGTCGTCGCCGTCCTCCCTCCTCCCTCGTCGTTGTCGTCGTTGTCGTCGTTGTCGCCGTCGTCGTCCTCCCTTCTCCCTCGTCGTCGTCTTCGTTGGCGGCGTCGTCGTCGTCCTCGTCGTCGTCGTCGGCGTCGGCGTCGTCGTCGTCTTCGTCGTCGTCGACGTCGGCGTCGTCGTCGTCGCCGCCATCGTCGTTGTCGTCGTCGTTGTCGGCGTCGTTGACGTCGTCGTCGTCGTCGGTGTCGTCGTTGTCGTCGTTCGGCGTCGTCATCGTCGTCGTCGTTGTCATCGTCGTCGTCGTCGGCGTCGGCGTCGTCGTCGCCGTCGGTGTCGTCGTCGTCGTTGTCGGCGTCGAAGTCGTTGGAGACGTCGTCGGTGTCGTCGCCCAGCTGGGATGTGCCCAGCAATCAGCACCACCGCGGCCGCGTCGGTCGCGCCAAACTAGCTGGCCGCTGCGCGCGCGCTTGGGTTGGCGCGGCCGCAGAGATGGGCCAGCTAACTCCAAACACTCGTTGCAATCGTCACCACATGGGTTTTGCATGCCAAATTGCGGGTGGGTGGGTGGGACGGTTGCAAGAGCGTGGGATGTGTCAACTCGTTTGTTTTAACCAACTACACCACATAGTCTGCACCGCATATGTTGCACAACTTGTGTTGCACTGCGTAGAATGCGTTGCATACATTTCACAACAACGATTGTGAGGCACACGCTGTTTTGGGCGCGGGTTTTCGAACACACATTGTTTACATCTAGACACGCATGCGGTGCATATGTATGCAATTTTGTTTACACGGTACCGGAGAACAGCCCAATCAGATTTTTGTTGGGCCTGTGGGGCTACAGGACTGTAGGGCTATAGGGCTATGGGGCTGCAGGGCTATATGGGTTATTTGGTTATATGGGGTGTACGGCTATAGGGCTATAGGGCTACAGGTGCTATCGGACTATAGGGTTTTAGGGCTATAGGGTTATAAGGCTATAGAGCTATAGGGCTATAGGGCTCTATAGCTATAGGGCTCTAGGGCTCTAGAGCCATAGGGCCATCTGCCTATAGGGCTATAGGGCTATAGAGCTATTTTAAAGCTATTGGTATATAAGGCTATATGGGCGCTATATGGGTTTTTGGGCTAGTTGGCTATTGAGCTATAGAGCTATGAGGCTATGGGGATATATGGCTATACGGTACCCGGGCACCCCCGGGCATCTCCAGGCACCCCCGAGCACCCGGGCACCTGGGCACCCACGGGCACCCACGGGCACCCGGGCGCCGGCCACCGAAATCCCTGGGCACCGGGCGCCCATGGGCACCCGGGCACCCGGCCACCAAATCGGCGCCCCACCTCTCCTAACCACATGAATCCGCTAGGACCCCTAGGGAGGTAAGATCTGATTGGGGAATGTATACTATATACGTCATGAAAAAAAATCTCATATTGACCCACACACACATACATGTTTAACATATGTTTGAATATACGGGGGCAGCTCTCTTGATGCAGCAACCAGCGCTGTAGTGCGCAAGTAGAAAACAAAAGGGGGGTCCTGCGCACCCACTCTCGGCGTCAGGCCACGCCTGCCACGCCCTGCGAACCTGGCATGGATAGAGACTGCGCTTCGGACCACTTTGAATCGGAGAACACGCCACGCGCGAGGGGCAAGGCCGCCGCGCGCGCGCGGCGGCCCTGGTCCATTCCGCGCGGGGAAACACACCGTGCGCGAGGCGCAAAGCCGCCGCGAACACGGCTCTGCGTGGGAGGAAAAGCTTCTCGCGAGTGCCAAGGCCGCCGCGCGCGCGGCGGCCCTGGCACGCCACGCGCGAGGGGCAAGGCCGCCGTTCGCACAGCTATCCTGGCCCGTTCTGTGTGGGAAAACGCACAATGCGCGCGCGGCGGCCTTACTGCATTTTTTGTTGGGAACACAGAGCACGCGCGAGGGGCAAGGCCGCGGGGTGCGCAGCGGCCATGGCCCAGTCTGTAAGGAAGAACGCGCAGTCCGCGAAAGGCAAGGCCGCAACGCCTCGATTGCGGAGGCCGCCGCGCCCGCGGCGGCCCCGCAGAATTGGCCGCATTTGGACGCGGAAACCAGATGCGTGATCCGGGCTGGAAAACCGCGCGCGCACGCCGCGCGCAGGAGGCGCACGCGGTGGCGCTGGGCCCATCAGGCACCAATGACTACCGAGCGCGAGAGCTGGACGCCACCGCGCGCACGCGCACGCAGTCGCACGCGCACGTACGCACAGTGTCCCAGTAAGACGAAAACTGCCTCCTCGTCGTCCAGAGCAGCGTGCATTGTTGCACGTATACAGATGGTACGCAAATACCAATGGATGCGCGGGCGTGCGGGCGTATGCACGAAAAGTACATACAAGCATACATAGGTGGATTTATCCATCGCATCGGTCGGTCTCCGTGTAATGTTTTCCCACTGGGGATTTTAATTAAGCAATGCTTCGGCGGCGAATTCATGGCAGTCGGGATCCAGGGGGGAGAAGGGGGGGACACTATTGTAAAACAGGTTTTGGACATTAACGAAACAAGCCAACAAACTCCCGACGCTTTTTGTTCACGACGCGAGGGGGCCTGTGTTTTCCAAACATGCCCCGCCAGGGCCTCGACGCCCTTCCCACGCCAGGCGCCCGTGCGCGGGATGAGGTACTCCCGGCTCGGCTTCCCGAGGATGGTGCTCGCAGAGCCGCCGAGGAACGCCACCCTCGAGAGGCGGCTGCCGCCGCGCTCCAGCAAGATGTCCACCGCGTCGCAGAAGTCGACGATGCCCTTGCGCCCCTGGGCATGCGGATGCACAGGGGCGACGAGGAAGGAGGAGAGAGGAGGAACGGAGAGGAGGAGGATGAAAATGAGTAGAGGGAGGGAGCGAGGGAGGAGGGAGGGAGGGAGGCAGAAGGGAGGAGTCAGCAGGGAGGAGAAGGCAGGAAGTGGCAGGAGGCAGGAGGACTATGCTAGGGGGAGGAGGGAAGGAAAAGGGGGAGACGAGTCAGCTAAGGGGCTCTCAGGGGCTTCACCGCGCACTGTGGTATCCCAGAGGGTCTTGGAGCCATCTCTGGCTGGTCTTGCAGCGCTGCGAAAAAGCTCCAGTCGTGACTCCCTTCTCGACGCCCAGTCCTGAGCGCCCCTCCCTTCGCTCTCGCAGTCGATACCTGGACCAGCATTTCATCGTCAATCTGGCCTTGCTCTGTGTCCCCAATAGTTCTGGGGGTACCGGAAGTCCGGGGAGGGTACCTGTAGTCTTGGGGAGGAGTACCAGTAGTCTGGGGTGGGGTACCTGCAGTCCATGGGGAGGGTACCAGTAGTCCGGGGTGGATACCTGCAGTCTAGGGGGAACGCGTGTTCACGCGTCAACGCACGCATGGATGTAGTCCTGTGGGGGTACCTGTAGTCCGGGGGGGTACCTGTAGTCCGAGGGGGGATACCTGCAGTCCAGGGAGGGGTACCTGTAGTCCAGGGGAGGGGCACCTGTAGTTCGGGGGAGGGGGTACCTGTAGTCCAGGGGGTACCTGTAGTCCAGGGACCCAAAACTATTGAGGGACACAGAGTGCCACCACGGCACCTGAGGAAACCCAAGTGGCGAGCAGCATGTTGTGATCACCCGCCTCCTCCTCCTCCCTGGGGAAGGCTGCTTCAAACGGGTCCCTTGGCCGCCTCCCGGGCAACACCAGGACCTGCTTTTCTTGAGCCGTGACCGTTGACGCGAAACAAACCGAAAACCACCACAACAGTCCACGACCCTGCCGGTCGAAAAATACGAATCGTACAGGCGGCCTCCAGGCGCCCGAAGAACACGAGCTCGTCGATCCGCCTGGGCTCCGAGACGCCGGCCGCCGCCGCCGGCACCGTTGCCGCCGCCAATGCCATAACGGCCGCCAGCGTCGCCGTAGCCGCCGCCGTCGTCGCCGCCGCCGCCATCGTCGTCGCCGCCGCCGTCGTCGCCGCCGCCGCCGTCGTCGCCGCCGCCGCCGTTGCCGCCGCTGCCGCCGTCGCCTCTGCCGCCACCAGCCGCCACTGTCGGCACACGACACCGCCGCCGCCGCAGCCACGGGCCGCCGCCGCGGTCGCCCTCGGCCCGCCTGGGCCCCGAGACGTCGGCCGCGCCGGCGGCCGCCGCCATCTGCTCTAGGCGCTTGCGGGCCTTGCCCCGCTGTGAGGGTCGGAGCGGTGAGGGCGGCTCCCTCTGACCCACTCCCCCGTCCTTGCACATCCTCCTCTTCCCGTCGTCGTCGGCGGTGTCCTCCTACTTCCCCTCCTCGTCCTCCTTCTCCTCCTCCTCCTTCTCCTCCTCCTCATCCTCCTCCTCCTCCACCCCCTCCTTTTCCTCCACAGGGGCACACTAGGAGCACGATCATCCTCAGTCCCCTGACTGCGTGCGGAGGGTATCTAGCCCCCTCCAGTTTGGTGTATGTCTCACGGTTTGGTTAGCAATCCGACTGTCTTCGGTTTCAAAATGTTACTTCCGCTGCAGCATGGGTCTCATGTTCGGATCCGCGCTGTGCTCTCGTCGTTCGGAATGGCGCTCTCGCCCCAGCGTGGGCCACGTTCCTGGATCCCACATGTCTCGCAAGTTCCTCAGGTCTGGCAGATCTCGCAGGCCCCACAGTTCCCACAGGTCCGACAGGTCCCACAGATGTCTCAGGTCGCCCCAGCGGTCCCGCAAGTGTCGCAAATCTCGTAGGTCCCACAAGGCCTACAGGGCCCACAGGTCCCGCAGGTCATACAGGTGTCGTTAGTCACACGGGTCCCACAAATGTCCCCGAGGTCCCACAGGTCCCGCTGGTCTCCAGGTTCCACAGGTCTCGCAGGCTTCCCTTGTCCCACAGCTCCCGCAGGTTCCACAGGTCCCACAGGTGTCGCAGGTCCCACAGGACTTAACATGCCACAGAGGTCCCTCAGGTCGCACCCACACAAGTCCCATACGTCTCACAAGTCCCACAATGTGTCAGTTCCCTGCTGCCTCACGTGTCCCAAAGGTCTCACAGGTCCCACAGGCCATGGGCAGAAGTCGCACAGTTCCACACGTCCCACAGATCGCACACGTCCCACAGTTCCCACCTGCCCCACAGGTCCCACAGGTCACCCTTGCTGCTATTAGGGCGCGCTGGGATAATGGAGTTTCAGGTCGGCTATGACACGCGTCCGAGGATAGAGACAAAACAGCGCAGTGGGAATGGACGGGGGAGACATCGGATGCCAGATGTGGCGCGAGTTGGCGCGAGCGCACCTAGCTTGCCACTCCCACCTCTCACTTCTCCTCGCTCCTGCTCCTGCTCCTGCTCCTGCTCCTGCTCCTGCTCCTCCTCCTCCTTCTCCTCCTCCTCCTCCTCCTCCTCCTCCTCCTCCACACTCCCTCGCTCCTGGGGTTCGACGGGCGTCAGAGGATTGGAGCGAGTTCTGGGTGGCTTCGGTTCTAATGCGGAGAGGGGCACAAGCAGCAAGGGTGGAGGGGGAAGAGGGATCGGGAACAACTCTGAACACGACAGACACCATTACCGCGAACTCAAGCTAACCTTCTCGTCCTCCCCAGCCTTGGTGAACGTTGAAGATGCTCGCGAAGCACTTGATCATGCTACTTGGGACTGTATGTCCAAGGCTGTCCAATCGTACGTATGCAGGCTCCAAGACTCCAATATCTCAGCACTCCGAGACGACCCGCTCTACCCTTTCCCCGCAAAGATTTCCGACGCCGCGATTTTTCGAAACGTGTCTCCTCAGAGCTAACCGCCCCATTTTCGGGACCGCTTTCTCGTCGCATGCCATCTCTTGGTGGCTCCATGGTCGCAAAGCGCTTGCCATGTCTTCTTCGCGGCTGGGGTATGGGATGTGGGTCCTCCTCCTCCTCCTCCTCCTCCTAGTGCTCTTGATCCTCTTGCGCTGGGGCCTCACTTGGCACCAGCAGAGGCATGACCTGCGGCGTGGTGTGCGGATTCCAGCCCTGCATGCCAGCCCACCGCAGCAAATACTCGCTGGGGCTGACCACCTCAGCAGTACCCCGGCCCGAACCAGGCTCATCTGCGAGGCCGGGATATATCCAGATCCACCGCCTGAGGAAGCGACGTCATGGGAACCCAGCGGTCGGTGGATATGGATGCATTTCGGCCCCCATGCGCCGCGCGCGCCCGAATATGTGTCTATCTACCATCTGCCGAGGTCCCCCGAGCTCGATCCCACAGGCGGTGCTTATGTATTAATTCCCACCTCGGATCATCCAAACCCTTCCCCCAGACTGGGGCGTCGGGAACAAATCACGACGGGCGCCTGGGTTCCGTCTCGGGCTCTCTCGCGAGCTTGAGAAATCACGCGCGTGTCGAAAGCTACAGCCATGCATGTTTACGACCGCCGCGAGCCGTTGCGTTTTTTTTCGAATGGTCTCGGGACTTGGGGCTGACCCAGCTGTTCCGATCTACCCAAAATCGCGAGGCACTCGCCTGATACCCGACATCGAAGCGCGCTCACTTCCCACGACGTGTGTTTTCACAACCCCTCTCAATCCGTGGGCCACCAGACCCTCGATCCCATCATCGGGACCATCATATTGTTGTTGGTCCAGGCCCGTCGGCTCGACGGCCCGCGCCACCCCGAGGCCAACATCGAGGAAACACCTCAGGTTCAAATACCTACGACGCCGAGAGAGCCTGGGTCCTGGCACCTGCCCCCGTCCTGGCCACCTCATACGCGCCCAAGCCCTGACCCTGATCGCGACCGGCCAGCCCGACCAGGCCCTAGATCGCCAGGTAACCTCGGCCAGCAGACCTCCGCCCCCGGCGGCGATCGACTGGCGACGACGCAGCGACGCAGCGCTCCGATCAATGGACCTGGATCTTCTGTGGCCGGCTCCTGCAAGAACCCCTGTTGACGTCTCACTTCGACCTCCGCCACCTTCCGCCAGCCTTCCGCGGGCCCGCCCCAGCCATATACTTCCGCCGGCCTCTGGCGAGAGCGAGGTGGCGCCGAGAGCGAGGCCATCTCTGGAACGCCCGCCCAAGAAAAGGTGCTCGGCGTCCGGGGCGCCCGCAGCGGCGACAGCAGGGGACGCGAGGGCTTCAGGCTGGCCCCCCCCCCAAGCTCCAGATCTGACCGCAACGTTCACGCTCCCCCGAAACGCGGCCGAAGACGGCGGAGCTCGGCCGACGCATTCCTGCTGGTGCCCACGCGCAGCTAAGTTAAACCTGTGGATCCAGAAGCAGGAGGATCAGAAGCACCAGAGGCAGGCGAGGAGGAGGAGGAGGAGCAACATGGAGGAGAAGCGAGAGCAGGAGCCGGATGAGGATAACGAGAAGGAGCTTGTTCGACGACGATTGGCTTGTGGGTACCAGCGCCTATGGTGACCACTCATGATGCACTGGTTAGGTTAGCCTGCTGAAAAATGGTGGAAGAGAAGCCCCACCGCGAGATTGAAGGACAATCGCCAGCAGAAGGAGGAGGGAGGACGGAGGATCAGCAGGACGACCCGCGACCCACGATCGACCGACGGGGCAACAGTCCGATCAACGGATCCTGGCCTCCTGAGCTCAACACGACGTCAGCCAGGCGGACCGTCTGCTGCTCCAGGAAGTCCACCTCGGCGTCGAGGAGTGTGTCTAGCTGCTGGCCGTTCGCAGTTCGCGCCCACCGCAGCGGCCCGTGGGTCATGACGACGACCGTCGTCGCGTTGAACGCGATGCGCAGGTACTTGGCGAGCACGGTGTAGTACCCGTACCCCTGGTAATCGTGCACGTGGACGACGTCGAACAGGTGAGAGCGCTCGCGCAGCCACCTGTACACGCTCCAGGCGGTCTTCGCGTGAAACATCACGCCGTCCACCTGTCGAAGATGGCCGCCGTGCGGGGGGGGGAAGGAGGGAGGGGAGGAGGGAGTGGAAGAGAGCAGGGCGTTGGAGGGAGGGGGCATGGGAGAGACGGAGGGAAGAGGAGCGGGGAGGAGTAAAGAGAGAGAGAGAGAGAGACTCGAAATGGCAGGATGAGGGGAAAGACGAGGAGGCCCCCTGACCTGGCCCTGAAACGTCTGCAGGAGGGGTATCAACTCGATCCCCATCTGCATGTACTGGGCGCGCCAATAATCAAAATCCCCCTCCACACTGTGCGAGACATTGCCCTGCGTGAAGAGGAGCGTCACGCTGTGACCGGCCCCTGCGAGCGCCTTCGCGAGGGCAATGCAATCAGTCCTCTTCGTCCCGTGCATTGTATGTTTACGCTGCTTCTACATATGCCACACCACCAAAGTTTCCCCTCGGTTCGTGCCATTAGCCATGGTGTTGCTTGCAATGTTGCAGCTTTCACCTCCAATGCCTTCTCCGAGTTCTGGACCTTCTCATGCAAGTCCTCGTCATGCTGCTGCTCCTCCTCCTCCTCCTCCTCCTTCTCCTATTCCTCCTTTGCCTCCTTCTCCTCCTCCTCCTTCTCCTCCTCCTCCTCCTCCTCCTCCCTTCTGCCTGTCGGGTGGGTGGGTGGACAATCGTGCGAGCAAGCTTTTGCTACAGGCGCCTCCGCGAGAGCACTGTAGAAGGTGCCGATGCCAGAACTGGTCACAACGCCCTGGAAGGAAGAAGCCACGATGCAAACGCGCAGCAGCTCCTGGAAATGAAAGGCGAGCAACATACCGAACAAACTCCCGATACCCGCCACCGTGCCGTAAGCACTGACTGAAGTTTCCTCAGGTCCAGTCGAGTTCTCTACACTGAGTCGAAATACTCTTTCATGGGCCACGATACAGGAGCTCCACGCGCGTATTGGGTTCCTCGAAATGGCTTCTTCCCGAAATGAAGAATCGCTGGAACAAAAACAAGATGCTTACAACTGGCAGGAGGGTGGCATGCGAAAACCAACAATCAAAAGACACATCTCTCGGACACCCTTCGCAGGTCCCCAGAGCGTCGCGGAAGTCCCCGAGAGGGCTCCGGGGGGGCCAGACGTTCAAACCACATTGAAACCAACTCGACCCTCCAACCTTGTCGCCGTCATCGCACAAAGTTTCTTTGACTACGACGTCGTAGTCAAAGGGACTGTTGCGACCCAGCCCATGAACGGACATCGAGGTGAATGGCGGAGCAAGGTCCCATCGCCTCGAATTCTTGCTGGTCCCACAGCTCAGTCCCTGCCCAGATCCCAGTCCACCCTCTACGTACCAGCGTGATGCAGCTCGCCCTCGCTCGCCTCATCGCTCCTACTCTTCCTCGTCCTCGTCTGCCACCCTCTCTCTTGAGTCCTTCTCCCCATCCACCCCGACATTCCTTCTGTCCACGTTCTCATCTTCCCAATCTCCACCGTGCTCCTGGTCCTTCATAACCTTGTCCCCCTCTTCCACTTCCAACTTCTTTCTCCTCACCTTTCCCCTCATCCTCTCCCTTGTTTGCCCCTCCTCCTCCTCCTCCTCCTCCTCCTCCTCCTCCTCCTCCTCATCCACCTCCTTCCTCCATCCCCTCCCCTCCATATCCCCCCTGCACCATCATCCTCCACCTCGTCATCTCCTGGTCCTCCTCGTCTTACTCCTCTCTCCTCATTCCTCTTCTTCCTCATCCTTCTCATCATCGACCTCCTCATCCTCAATCTCCTCAGCACCCCTCACCCTCCTCGTCCTCACCCTCTCATTAATCCCTACCCTTGATCGTCATCCTCGCCCTTAACCCCAACCCTTCACCTCATCATCCCCACTCTGGCCAGCATCGCCAATGCTCTGCTTCCCGTCGCCCTCCTCCTTCCTCCCCCGCCCCATCCCACAGGCCCCTTGGGATTCCCAAGAGCCCCCAACAAATCCGAATCATTCTTCCAATTCCTCGAAAAATGTCGGAGGTCCTCTCTCCTCCTCATCGACATCCTCCTCCTTCTTCTCCTCCTCCTCCTACTCCTCCTCCTCCTCCTCCTCCTCCTCCTCCTCCTTCTCCTCTTCATCATCCCTCTCCCCAGCGACGGCAACGACGGACGACGGACGACGACGACGATCGATAGCAACGGACGTGGGATGATAACGAAAGACGACGATCGACGACGATGGCGGACGACAACGTCGACGACGGACGACGGACAACGCCAGACGACGACCGACCGCGGACCCCTTCAAAGTATGCTGTTTGGGGGGCTTCGACATGCGGGGTAAGTTTGAAAGAGAAGGGCAGGAGGAGGGAGGGGAGTGCAACGCACTTGTGGACCTTTTGGCCGTGACCGAGGGGGCGAACTACAGTCAACGACGCCGCGTGTGCACTCCAAATCATGCACATGCCCCTAACCTGGTATACACCCGCGCTGCTACAATTTGATAGTCCCGGAGGGGAGTGCCAGGACAAGCAGGAGGAGGGGCAGGAGAAAGAGCCACATACCCCCGCCCGCAGGAGAGCCCGAAACAGCACCGCAGACCTCCCACGCCGTGAGCCTTTTGTGCAACGTGGACTCCCCCCTGAGTCTGGTCTCTCATCCCGAGCTGTCTCTGGACGGCCCCAGGGCCTGGGGAGGGCCCCTGGAGGCCGAGGCTGGGCAAAAATCTCCCGACGTGAACTTTCTCCACCCGGGGGTAGACCTGGGTGCGCAGACCGCTGCTACCGCATCGCGTTCAGCAACTGGGGGACCCCACTGGGCCCGCACCGAAGGTCACTCAGGCGAAAGGTCACTCTTACGTCGAGTCGACTTTAGCAAGCCACTCTTCAGTGAAACCGACCTGGATCCAGACCCAGCGGGCGCAGGCCCGCAAGGAGTGCGGCCGCAGCACCTCCTCGAGAACCGAGGGAGGGCAACACGCGCCAGTCGACCTGGCAGGGCAGGCTGGTCATCGCGCTCACACGTGCGTTTTGTTGTCCGGGAGATGATCCAAGATGCTCCTCGATGGTCCTCGCCGAAAACGAATGCAGCACACGTCCGAGCGATGCCAAGCAAAGATTCCTGCCAACCTCCCGTGCACAACGAGATGAGGCCTGGCCCCCCCCCCCAGGCGGCGCGGCGGACCCCCCCGGGCTCCGTCGCCGATCCTCCAGCGCACGGGGCGGGGCCCTCCTCGACCTCGGCCGGCGCACCGCGCCCGCCCGCCCACCACGTCGGTCTCGAGCCCGGCCCGCTCGCGGGTCCGGTAGCTACTGCCCCGGGTCATTGCAGACCTCCTGCACTGGGTCAGTCAGGCTTGATTTGCAGCATCCTGCAGGATCCTGCACGCAAGCCCGGGTCAGTCCACCCCTGGATATGCAGGATCTTGCAAAATCTGGCGCTCTGGCCGACCACCCGTTTGCACTGGCCCCCGTCTCAAGGCTCCCGCGCGGGGAGGCCGCGGGGCTGGCCAGGCCCAAGGAGGGAGGGGAGGACAGGGATATCATCGAGGAGGGCGAAGGACCGCCGCGCGCCGCCCCGCGGAGGAACACTGGGAGAACAGGATCCATTCGGATCGACGCGGCAAGAGGAAGCGTCGAGCTCCATGGCGCCGTCTGGGGTCCCTCCTTGGTTGGAGGGACCGCAAGGGTGAACCGATAGCTCAAAATCAACTGCGACTGTACTCATATCCCACCCTGTCTGGCGGACGAAAACAGCCCAGGCCGCAACCATCCACACTTGGCCGGGGGCAGATGCGATCCCCCCTCAGAGGGGAGGACAGGGGTGTGGCGGGGAAGCGCGCGCCCGCGCCGAGCCCCTGGAAGGCAAACTCTCTGGCAAGGGCGGAATGGGCACGTCGCATGGGTCGGAATGGAACCGCAACCTCTGGCCACTGAGGTCTCGAAGCGGCTCCTGCGGCACGCCTCCCCTCCCCTCCAACCTGCAGGCCGCAGCCCCCGACCCGGACCGAGGGGGAAACAAAAACTGCGGCGGCCGCTCGCAGCCCGAGAGCCGCCACGCAACAGAGCCGCCTGCGCGCACAAGAGAGGCCCCGGGCAGGCGCGGCCTCCAGTGCGCGGCTCGCCGATCGCTGCGCCCGATGCGACACCAGCGGCCTGCGGTCGCATTCGCAGCCTGTGTTCTTGCGATCAACCGCCAAAGGGTTAGGGACCTCCTAACTTCGGTTTCCGCCAAAAGGTTAGGGACCATGTATTGCTAATCAGCGGAGACGGCCGCGAGTCGCGTAGCACACACCAGACGCCAACTTGCACTGTGCAACGATCGCACTCGTTGCCTCGATGTCGTCCTCGTATTTCCCCGGAGCGGCCGCATGACTGTGATCACAGTCGCCCCGCCCTCCTGAGCGCTGGACCCCCCGATCCCTCTCCCCTCACTCCAGCCCCCGCCCTGCCCGCCCCAGCGACCGTCAGGAGAAAAACGACGAGACGGACGAGGCAGAATGGAGAAGGGAAGGGGGATGGTAGCAGCAGGATTGGGAACGGGGGGGGGGCGGGGGAGCGACGCAGGAGCGGGAAGGAGGGAGGGAGGGCGGGAAGGCGAAGATGGAAGGGGTGAGAGCGGGAGGAAGGGAGGGGGGGAAGGGAGGGGGGCGGAGGATGACGAGGAAATCGGGCGTGAGGGAGGAACGGGGACGGAGGGAGGGCGTTGGGAGGGAGGGGGAGGATGGAGGGAGGAGCGAGGCAGGCAGGAGGGGGAGGGGCGGGGGACGAGAGGGGACGGCGGGGGAGGGGGAGGGACAGGAGAACGGAGGAACGAGGCAGGAAATGAGGAAAGAAGGGGAAAGGGCGGAGCGAAGAGAAGGGACAAGGGAGGAGGGAGGAAGGACAGACGGAGTGAAGGGAGTGGGATGAGGTGGTGACGGAGAAAAAGCTTACTACGGGTGCGGGCAGCGATGATCACAAGACAGATCATCAGTTTGGCCCCAGCGCCAGCCCAAACGGCGAGCATACATTGGACGCAATCCGATAGAACTGAGAGGGCCAACCACTGTGGGCCCCGTCGGCCTGCTCCTCGGCATCGGTATCGTCGCCGGCGTCGTCGTCGTCGTCCTCCTCCGCCTCCTCCTCCTCCTCCTCTCCTCCTACTGCGGCTCCTCTGCAGCTGAGGCCGCCTCCTCCGAGGCCAGCCTGGGCACGCCCGCACACAAGCAACATCGGTTGAGCATTTGGTTGCCCCACCCATGGGTTGCGCCATGGCCGCGCTACCCATGGATTGCACCATGCGTTACGATATAGTTTACGCCATGGGTGCCGCCATCCATGGGCTGCGACATGTAATGCTCCATGGGGGGAAGGGCGAACAGACTCGAAGGGAGGAGCGGGGCGATGAGGAAGTGTGGCCCTCTGAACACTCAGAGGTAAAACTCCGATGCACGTATGAGTAGGTCATAAGTACCCCTTAAGTAACTTGCAGCATGCAGCCTAAGTAACTTAGTGAGACACTTGTGTGTAGCCCTGTGTAGCTAACGTAAGTCGCTAAACCACTCGAACTACTTATAACGGTGCACGTAGCATAAGTATGGCACTCCTCCCAGCATAAGGACGAGACGGCACAACCTGTCCGGGCCGTTCAGGGTCCCTTCAGGGCCACTATCCGGCAATCTGCGATCCACTGCCCCCGCGCTGCCGTCCGCGCCTGCCAAGGCTCCCGCGGCCCCTTCGCGAGCAGAAATTGGGCGCAGGGAGAGGGGGGACGGCTGCTTAGAAGGAGGCTGCTTCTTGGAAGGCGTCGGGCCTACATCCACAGACAAAGCCCGCGCCTCTAAGAAGCAGGGGTCTAAGAAGCAGGGGTCTAAGCAGCCTCGCCCCCTTCCCCTACCCCCCTCTGCGCGTGACCGAATAAGCCCCTGGCCAGGAGGTCGAGGTCCGCCCCGAGGGTCCACCAGAGGGCGGAGACGGCCAAGAACGGGAGGACGGCCAGCACCACTATCTGGCACGCGGCGGACTGTCTCGCCGCGCGCGCGACCGCCGCGGAGGCGCGGCGGAGCAGGAGCCGCAGGCTCAGGGGAAGTCTGTGCCATCTCTGGGCCATGCCCTCGAGCCGAAAACTGGTCGGAAAAACGCCCTCTGCACTCTCTGTGGGGGGCAGGATCACAGCATCCTCATGAGAAGCACCCCGACGAGCGAGGCCTTCACTAAACGCACTCAGGGAAGGTATCGAACAGGGCAAGGCTGTGTAGTAAACGCCCAATGCTGTTCAGACAACGCCGATTGTGGGGATCGGAGTGTTTCTTCCTCCCTTGACTCTGCGCCTCGAAAAGCCTGGGGGAAATACCCTGCGCGAAAGATACACGGCGCGAGAAACATGTAAGGCCAGGATCTCAAGGTCGCCCTCCGAGGCGAAAGGTGATCTTGCTGTGGCAACGAAATCGCCTGAAAAATCGCTCGCTCTGCCAGTGCCGACCCAAGAGCCACGGAAGAGGTGCACAAGTATCCCTCCTGCGCATGACGAGGATCCGAGACGAAGGGGGGGGGGGGCGGCAAGGCGCGCGAGCGAGGGGGACCCAAGCGCCGATCCAAGAAGTCCGCGCGGAGCTCCGACTGTTCATGCTCATGCCGTGTCCCGCCTCTCGAGACTTGGAGGAACGCTTTCCACTCAAAGGAGCCCCCCCCTCGCTCGGCACGTCCCGTCCTCGGGTGTCCTCGGCGGCGACAGACAGGCTCCGTGCTGGGCGGAGCACTGCGGTCCTCATCCGGATCAGAAGCCTACGGCTGCTGCCGTTGACGGTTTACTTCGCTGGCGAAGGCAATCTTCATTCTTTTGAGTATTGCCATTGTCCATGCGCACTCCCTTCTCAATCCGTTTCCACCTCATACTCCTCGTCCTGACTCTCCCATGATATCCTCAACCTGCATCTCCTCCTCTCCTCCTTGTCGTCCTCCTCATCCCCGTCCTCTTCCCCTGCTACTGTTCGTCTCCTCCGCACCTACATCTTCCTGCTTCCCTCCTCACTCTCTCCTCCTCCGCCTCATCCTTGTCCTCATCACTTCAATATTGCTCCACCTGTCTCGGATCGTATTCATCACAATACTCAGCTTCAACATCGTTGTGTATATTCTCAATATCGTCATCATCGTCCTCTTCCTACCCACTTCCTCCTTCATTTCTCATTGTCCCTGCCGTCCGTACCTATCGTTCTCCACGTCGCCTTCCTTGTCCTCTTCCTCTCCCTCCTCCAACTCCACATACATATCACATATCCATCTGTTCTTCCTCCTCCTCCTGCTCCTTTTCACTTTGCCACCCAATCGAAAGAGCTCGAACATAGACGTACCGAGAAGGACAAATTACTACCCATGACATCCGACAGCGTGAACAAATTCAGATGTCGTCAAGAGTTCACGACCAGACGTCCCAACAACACCTTCGCTGCGCTGTTTCCCAGGCTGGGCCGATCAGTGAAGTGAGGGGCATGGAGTCTGCGATGGGGCGACGCCACCCGTTGCGATTCTGCCGAGATGCGCAGATGCGATGCCTCCCCATCATTCGGCTGCGAGCGAGGGGGGGAAGTGAGACGGCAGAGGGCGGGACTCCTCAGAAGGCGGCGGGACTCCTCAGGAGCCCTCGCGCCTTCTGAGAAGTCTGCTGCGTCCTCGGGGAAAGCCTAGGCAACTTCTCAAGAAGGCCGGGAGACTTCCAGGCCTTCCGAGGAAGGCCTCTGCCTTCTCACTTTCCCCCCTCGCTCGCCGCCGAGTCGAGATGCCCCGATGCGATGCCCCCCATCATATTGACACCGACGAAAACTTGTCCTGCCCCAAGAGTTCTGCCGCGGCGGCGAAGCCCGTACCCTCGGAGCCACGCCCCCAAAGGCAAGATCACATCAAACGTCTCCTCTTCTGAGGCCTGAAGATCTGGCGGGCATGCCCTCCTCCTCCTCCTCCTCCTCCTCCTCATAAATTACCGCTCGTCCTCCTTCTCCTCCTCCTCCTCATCCTCATCCTCATCCTGCTCCTCCTCCTCCTCCTCCTCCTTCTTCTCCCTTTGTCGTCGTCGTCGTCCTCCTCCTCCTCCTCCTCCTCCCCCTGATCTCGACCTTTTTTCACGAAGCCGATCTGTGAGAGAAAGCATCGTGCCGTGCCTACGTCGGAGGCGCGGGGTGCGCACGACGACCCCGCGACTACGAAGACGACGCACACGACGATATCAGAGTGAGGGGTGTCCGAACGGTCTAACTCTCTCCCTGTGCGCGCGTGGCCTGGATGGAGCCTTGACCGCGGGACGAGCTCCCTAGGCGGGCATGCTGGGAGGGCACGCTTGGGTATTTCGTAGACCACGGCCACGACCGCGACCTTCGGCCACGACCGAGGCAACGACCCGCGACCCATGACGGCTACGACGACTGCGGACGACGGCAACGACCACAACCGCGACCGCGACCTCGACCGCGGCCGCGACGTCGACGATGCAGACGACGACCGCGTCGCTGGGGGGTGCCGCGTGCGGACCCCAGCCCGCAGGCGGCGACAGCGGCCGCCGAGCGCCGGGCAGCCAGGGCCCCGCGGCCGCGGGTGTTCTTCCTGGCGGTCGCGCGCGTGGCACGGTGGAGACCACGGCCGCCGCCACGGTGGTCGTGGTCGTGGTCGCCGTCCTCCCTCCTCCCGCCTCCGCAGCATCGTCGCCGTCGTGGTTGGAGGTCCGCAGACGTAGTCGTCGGTCCTCGGACGCTCTCCAACCTCGGGGTGCCTTCCTGCAGCTGCGCCTCGGCGGAAGCATTCCAGGGAAGCCCGAATCGTCCCGAGCGGCCGCCGGAGACCCGAGGTGTGACCAGCCCAACAGGGCCCGCCCCAACACGGCCCAAGAGGCCCCCAGACGGCCCCAGAAAGCCCCAGGACGGCCCCAAGAGGCGCCCAAAACGGCCCAAGAGGGCACCAAGACGACCCCAAGAGGGGCCTCAGAATGGGAATACGAACTGAAACATTTAGCTTTCCGCCCCAAGAGCCTCCCGGGAGGCTCCAAGAGGCCCACAAGAGGCCCCGGAAGCCCCCAAGAGGCCCCCAAGAGGCCCCCAAGAGGCCCCCAAGAGGCCCCCAACAGGTGCAAATGAGGCCCCAAGAAGCGTCAAACCGGCCCTGAGGTGGTCAGCCTTTCAAGTTGATCCTGACCACCTCCAAGATCAAGGCTTTTCCTTCACCTCTTCCCCCTCCTGTCGATGCACTGGCGAAGGACGGTACAACTGAGACGTTCCACCGTGACACTTGACAATCATTTGATCCGCACCGGCGGGACGTGTGGGCGCGAAACCTGCGGCCCGCCCCTGGCCAGGCACCCACCCGGAAAGGTCCACATCGTGCTTGCATTTCGCCCCCGATACACCACACCGAGTCTCTTCTTCCTCCTCCTGCTCCTGCTCCTCCTCCTCCTCCTGCTTCTCCCTCAGCTTGCTGGGCCGGGATGTCGTTGCCCGGGTTGAGCCCGCCGTGGCTGCAGGTAGCACACGAAAACCACAGGCAACACAGTTCTCAGATGTGGGAAATCCACACGCCTGTCGAGTCGCGGCAGAGGGGGACATCTCGCGGTGAGGAGACCCGGCGCACACATACCAGCGTGCGCCAGGCGTGGAGGCCGAATCGGCACAGAAACATGTAAGAGGAGGAGGACGAGGAGGAGGAGGCGGAGGGGGAGGAGGAGGCAGAGGGGGAGGGGGAGGAGGAGGAGGAGGAGGAGGAGGAGGAGGAGGAGGAGGAGGAGGAGGAGGAGGAGGAGAGGCCACAGCGAGAGGAGGGGGGAGGGATAAGGAAAGAGGCGGACTGCATATCTGCTCGATTCCTAAGGGGCGTTCCCGTAGTTTCCCCCGCCGCGACGCTCGCCGCGACTTGCAGCGACTGGCCCGACGGTCGGCGGACCTGCTCGATTCCTCGATGGTCGCGCTGGCTCGCGTGGCGACGTTCCCGTTGTTTCCCCCGTCGTGCTGCTGCTTGGGGTCTGCCACCACCGTGCCCACGATCGGGGCGGCGGGGGCGCCCAGCGGCTGGCGGACCACGGCCGAGGGCATCCCTTGGGGCGCCATGCGCAGGGGCTGCAACTGGAGGAAGCATTTAGTCTGGGTCTTGGTGATCTCGTCCGCCTGCCTGCCCTCCTGCATGGCCGTGCAAGATGAACAGCATCAGTAGACGAGGAAGTCCATAGCGCAGTGAGTTTCTGGCTGTGGGTCCCTGAGCGCCCGGTGCAGCTTCGCGCGCTGCCAAGCGAGGCAATAAGCCATGAAGACGTTGGAGACGTAGAAACCCAAGGTACACATGTTACCCATTTTCAATGAATACGAGAGAAGCGCCACTGAGATGCTGACGACCTGCCCGATCACCTCGAAAGCCTCGTAGGCGTGTGTGTACGTCATGTAGCTGGGCCCGATGCTGGTCATGGTGCAGGTGCCAGTAGGCCGAAAAGCGGTAGAGCGAAATCCGTACATACAGTGGTCGCAGTTGCCGCAGCATTTACAAATCTCGTACTTCCAAATGCCCCCAGAGGCTGGAGGCCGACACCCGGAGGACAGCCCTGCCACAGCACCCGCTTCTTAGTGATCGAAGCATCGCACACGAAGGCGATGAAAACGTCACGGCGAGCATGATGGCCAAACTGCTAACCCACTGGAGAAAGACATCCCCAAATAACGTCACCTGTTATGCCTTCGACTGTTGAATCATAGGATTCCGTCATGCGGCGCGGGCTCGCGTCGAACGTGCCGTCCGAAGTGACCCTGTCGTCCACACAGGTTTCCCATCAAGAGCCACCCCCATTGCTGCCTGGCCCGACTGCGGTAGCATTACCTTGAGAACCTCCCACACGACAGCCTCGGGATAACCCTAAACTGACTAGTGGAGCGCGTGAAAGAGAAGCATTGCAGGGTGCCCCCAGCACAGACAAGACGAGCAGCAACATCGCAGCCCAGAAGCACTCGCTGCGATCTGCCTCGTCAGCCGACGAGCAAGGTGAAACGACTGTATCTTGCCACGACAAATCGTAAATCTTGGGCCAAAACGGCTACGGATCTTACAGCACTGCAGTTTTTGGGTAGAAGACTCTCCACGCCGCCAACGCATCTCTCCTAATATGC